GGATTTTGGGGGAGTTTGGGGGTTTTGAGGGTCAGGGGTTTCGATTTTGGGGTATTTGGGTGATTTTGAGATTTGGGGGCTCAGGGACCCTGACCCCTTGGTCCCCATTTTGGGGTGATTTTGGTGATTTGGGGGGTTTGGGGTGGGTTTAGAGGATTTGTGGGGGCTTGGGGGTTTTGAGGGTCGGGGCTCGATTTCGGGGTTATTTGGGGTGATTTGGGTGGATTTGAGGTCAGGGACCCCTGACGCCTCTCTTGTCGCCGCCCCCCCAGGCTGCGCCGCTGGGCGACCGAATCGAGGCCCGGAAGCTGCAGCGGCTCCAGAGGAGAGGTGGGGAGGGGGATTTTGGGGGTCCTGGGGGATTTGGGGGTCCTGGGGGGATTTGGGGAGTCCTGGGGGATTTGGGGGGAGTCCTGGGGGATTTGGGGGTCCTGGGGGATTGGGGGATTTGGGGGATCCTGAGGGGTCCTGGGTGGGTTTAGAGGGGATTGAGGGGTCTTGGAGGGGCTTAAGGAGTCCTGGGGGTCCTGTGGGTTTAGAGGGATTTGGGGGGTCCTGGGGGATTTGGGGGGTCCTGGGGGTCTTGGGTGTGTCTTAGAGGGGATTTGGGGGTTCTGGGGTGTCCTGGGGTTTTAAAGGGAATTTGGGGGTCCTGGTGGGATTAGGGGGTCTTGGGGGTTGAGGGGTCCTGAGGGGGCTTAGAGGATTTAGGGGGTTAGAGGGGATCTGGGGGTCCTGGGGGTCCTGGGAGGGGGTTTAGAGGGAATTTGGGGGGATTTGGGGGTCCTGGAGGGGATTTGGGGGATCCTGGGGGTGTTTGAGGAGTCCTGGGGCTTTAGGGGCTTAGGATGAGGGGTTTGGAGGGGTCCTGGGGGTCCTGGGTGGGCTTAGAGGATTTGGGGGTCCTGGGGGGTTTAAGGGTGTCCGGGGGGGCTTAGGGGTTTAGAAGGGATTTGTAGTTGTCCCGAGGAGATTCAGGGATTTGGGGGCTTTGGGGGGATTTGGGGTGGGTAGTGGGGGATTTGAGGGGTCCTGGGGGGATTTGGGGGTTTAGAGGAATTTGGGGGATTTGGGGGTCCTGGGGTTTGGGGGGGATTTGGGGGTCCTGGGGGATTTGGGGGTCCTGAGGGGTTTAGGGGGTTTAGAGGGATTTGGGGGATTTGGGGGTCCTGGGGGGCTTAGGGGATTTAGGGGCATCCTGGGGGGGATTTGGGGTGCTGGGGGGTCCTGGGGGATTTGGGGATTTGGGGGTTTTGGGGGATCCTGGAGGGTCCAGATACTTCTCAAGTCCCAGAATCCCTTCAAACCCCAAAACCCTCTAAATCCCCCAACTCCCCGTAGATTTCCTAATCCTCCCAAATCCCCAGGATTCCCCCAAATCCTCCCCGAACCCCCAAATCCCCTCAAACCCCCAAATCCCCAAAATCCCCTTTCCTGCGTCCCTCCCCTCCTCGGTGTCTCAGGTGTCCCCCCCCCAGGTGCCCCCTCCCCAGGTGACCCCTCCCATCCCAGGTGTGACTCTCCCCTGCCCCTCCGGCCACACTGGGCGCCTCGATGGGGACCAGAGGGGACAGAGGACCAGGACAGATGGGGGAGGGGGATTGGGGATTTGGGGGTCCTAGGGGATTTCGGGGGTCCTCAGGGGGATTTTGGGGTGGGGAGGGGATTTGGGAAGTCTGGGAGTTGATGGGATTTGGGGGATTTCGGGGGTCCTCGGGGATTTGGGGGGTGGGGGGGATTTGGGGAATTTGGGGGATTTGGGGGATTTGGGGGGATTTGGGAAGTTTGGGGGATTTGGGGAATGGGGGAGGGATTTGGGGCGATTTGGGGATTTGGGGATTGAGGGGATTTGGGGGTGGGGAGGATCTTGGGGTCCCGGGGAAAATTGAAGCCAGGGGGATTGGGGGATTGGAGGGATTTGGGAGGATGGGGAGGGGATTTGGGGATTAGGAAGTTTGGGGGCATTTGGGGGATTTGGGGGATTTGGGGGATTTGGGGAGTTTGGGGGATTTGGGGGATTTGGGGATTGGGAGGGATTTGGAGGGATTTGGGGATTGGGGAGGTTTGGGGAATTTGGGAGTTTAGGGGATTTGAGGGGATTTGGGGGTTGGGAGGATTTGGAGGATTTGGGGGATTTGGGAGGATTTGGGGATTTAGAGAGTTTAGGGGATTTGGGGGATTTGGGGGATGGGGAGGGATTTTGGGGGATTTGGGGGATTTGGGGAATTTGGGGATTTGGGGGATGAGGGAGGGATTTGGAGGGGATTTGGGGGATGGAGGGGATTTGGGGGTCCTGAGGGGATTTGGAGGATTTGGGGAGTTTGAGGGGATTTGGGGGATTTGGGGGTGGAGGGAGGATTTAGGTCCGGGGGTTTGGGGGATTTGAGGGGTTCTGGGAGATTTGGGGGTGGGGAGTGGTATTTGGGGGTTTGGGAGAGATTGGGGATTTGGGGGATTTGGGGGATTTGGGGGATTTGGGGGTGGGGGAGGGATTTGGGGAAGTTTGGGGGATTTGGGGGATGTGGGAGGATTTGGGGGTCTTGGGGGATTTGGGGAGTTTGGGGATTTGGGGGATTGGGGGGATTTGGGGGATTTTGGGGGATTTGGGGGGTTGAGGTGATGGGATTTGGGGGTTAGATGGAGGGGATTTGGGAGATTTGGGGGTTTGGGGATTTAGGGGGGATTTGGGGATTTGGGGGGATTTGGGGGTTGGGGAGGGATTTGGGGGATTGGGTGATTGGGGGTTTGGGGGGATTTGGGGGTGAGGGAGGATTTGGGGGATGTGGGAGGGTCGGGGGTTGGGGGATTTGGAGGATTTGGGGGATGGGGAGGGATTTGGGGGTTTGGGAAGTTTGGGGGATTTGGGGGGATTGGGGAGGGATTTGGGGGATTTGGGAGGGATTTGGGGGATTGGGGGATTTGGGGATGGGGGAGGATTTGGGGGATTGGGGGTGGGGAGGGATTTGGGGGATTGGGAGAGTTTGGGGGATTTGAGGGGATTTGGGGGTGGGGAGGGGATTTGGGGATTTGGGGATGTTGGGGGATTTGGAGGATTTAGGGAGTTTGGGGGATTTGAGGGATTTGGGGATGGGGGAGGCGATTTGGGGGTCCTAGGGAGTTTGGGGGATTTGGGGATTTGGGGGATGAGGAGAGGGATTTGGAGGGATTTGGGGGATGGGGAGGGATTTGGGGGATCCTGAGGGATTTGGAGGATTTGGGAAGTTTGGGGGATTTGGGGGATTTGGGGAGGGAGGGAGGGGATTTGGGGGTCTTAGAGGGGTTTGGGGGATTTAGGGATTCTCGGGAGGATTTGGGGGGTGTGGAGGGGTTTTGGGGGATCCCGGAAATTGGGAGTCTGGGGGGGTTTGGAGGATTTGGAGGATTTGGGGGATGGGGAGGGGATTGGGAGAGTTTGGGGGATTTGGGGGATGGGGAGGGATTTGGGGGTCCGGGGGAATTGGGAAGTTTGGGGGGATTTGGGGAACTGGGGGCGATTTGGGGGGATTTTTGGGGATTTGGGAGGCTTTAGGATGGGGAGGGATTTTGGGGGTTTGGGGGATGGGGAGGGATTTGGGGGATTTGGAAAGTTTGGGGGATTTGAGGGGGATTTGGGGATGGGGGAGGGATTTGGGGTCCTGGGAAATTGGGAAGTTTGGGGGATTTAGGGGGATTTTGGAAAGGATTTGGGGGTGGGGTTGGGGATGGGGGAGGGGATTTGGGGGATTTGGGAAGTCTGGGGGGATTTGGGGGATGGGGGAGGGGTTTTGGGGGTCCTTGGGGTATTTTGGGGGTGGGGGAGGGATTTGGGGGAATTTGGAAAGTTTGGGGAGGATTTGGGGATGGGGAGGGGATTTGGGGGATTTTCAGGGTTTGGGGAACACTGGGGGTCCTGAGGAATTTGGGGGTCTGGGGGATTTTGGGGGTCTGGGGGTTCTGGGAGAATTTGGGGGTCTGGGGGGTTCTGATGACATTTTGGGACCCCCTGACCCCCTCCCCTTTGCTGCCCCCAAGGCCGTGTCCCTCCTCCCTCCCCACTCAGCCCCATGGGGGTCCTGGGGATTTTGGGGGTCTGGGGGTCTGGGGGGTCTGATGACGTTTTGGGACCCCTGACTGCCCCTCCCCTTTGTTGCTCCTCCAGACCATGTCCCCCACTCCCCTTCAGCCCCATGGGGGTCCTGGGATTTTGGGGGACTGGGGGTCTGATGACATTTTGGGGGTCCTGGGGTTGGCGACATTGGGGGTCTGAGGGTTCTGATGACGTTTTGGGACCCCCTGACCGCCTCCCCCCACTTTGCTGCCCCCAGGCTGAGTCCTCCTCCCTCCCTTACTCAGCCCTTTTGGGGGTCTGGGGGTTTGGGGGCTTTGGGGACACTGGGGTCCTGGGGATTTTGGGGGTCTGAGGGGTTTGGGGACCCTGACCGTCCTCCCCTTTTGCCCCCCAGGTCGTGTCCCCTCCCCTTTTTAGTGACATCATGGGGGGGTTTGGGGACACTGGGGGTCCTGGGGATTTTGGGGACACTGGGGGTCCTGGGGATTTTGGGGGTCTGGGGGGTCTGGGGGTCCTGGTGACATTTTGGGGGTCTGGGGATTTTGGGGGTCTGAGGGGTTTTGGGACCCCTGACCGCCCCTCCCCTTTGTTGCTCCCCAGGCCGTGTCCCCTCCCCTTTTAGTGACATCTTGGGGGTTGGGGACACTGGGGGTCCTGGGGATTTTGGGGACACTGGGGGTCTGGGGATTTTGGGGCTCTGGGGTTTTGGGGGACATTGGGGGTCTGATGTCATTTGGGACCCCCTGACCGCCCCTCCCCTTTTTGCCCCCAGGCCGTGTCCCCCTCGCCCGGCCCCGTGGGGTCCTGGGAATTTTGGGGGTCTGGGGGTCTGGTGACATTTTGGGGACACTGGGGGTCCTGGGGATCTTGGGGTTCTGGGGGTCTGAGGGGTTTGGGATCCCCTGACTCCCTCCCTGTTTTGCCCCCCAGGCCGAGCCCCCTCCCTTTTTAGTGACATTTTGGGGGACATTTTGGGGGACAATGGGGGGTCTGGGGGGTTTTGGGGGGTCTGGGGGTCTGGGGGTCTGGGGATTTTGGGGGTCTGAGGAGGTTTGGGGACTCCTGACCATCCCCTCCCCTTTTTGCCCCCCAGGCTATGTCCCCCGTCCGGCCCCGTGGGGTCCTGGGGATTGGGGGGTCTTGGGGGCTTTGGGGACACTGGGGGTCCTGGGGATTTTGGGGGTCTGGGGATTTTGGGGGTCTGGGGGTCTGGGGGTCCTGGTGACATTTTGGGGGTCTGGGGGGTTCTGGGGGTCTGAGGGGGTTTGGGGACCCCCTGACCGCCCCTCCCCGTTTTTGCCCCCCCAGGCCGAGCCCCCTCCCTTTTAGTGACATCATGGGGGGTTGGGGACACTGGGGGTCCTGGAGAATTTGGGGGTCTGGGTGGTCTGAGGGGGTCTGAGGGGGTTTGGGGACCCCTGACCGCCCTCCCCGTTTTGCCCCCAGGCCGAGCCCCCCGTCCATCCCCGTGGGACTCGGAGGACTCGGGGGACTCGGGAGACCCCGGGGACCCCATGGGGAGGGGACCCCGAGGGAGACCCCTGATGGAGGGGAGGGGTCCTGCCCTCCCCACCCCCGCGGCGCTCGGGGCGTGTCCTCCGGCCCCGGCCACGCCCACCAGAGAGCAATGACGTCATCAACGGCTCCTCCCCACCCTGAGAGGCCGTGGGGAGGGGAGGAGGAGGAGGAGGAGGGGAGGGGCAGGCGCTGAACGGTGAGGGGGAGGGGAAAAGGGAGGGAAAAGGGGAGGGGGAGGGGAAAGGAGGGGGGAAATGGGGAGGGGAGGGGGAAGGGGAGGGAAAATGGAGAGAAAATGGGGAGGGGAGGGGCAAAAGGGGGGAAAAGGGAGGGAAAGGAAGAGAGGGAGAGGGAAAGGGGAGGAGGAAAATGGGGAAGGGGGAGGGGGAAATGGGGAGGGGGAGGGGAAAAGGGGGAGGGGAGGGCAAAAGAGGAGGAGAAGGAGACAAAGAGGAAAGGGGAGGGGCAAAAGGAGGGGGAGGTAAAGAGATGGGGAGGGGTAAAAGGAGGGGGAGGGGCAAAAGGGAGGGGCAAAAGATAAAGGGAGGGCAAATGGGAAGGGGAGGGCAAAAGGAGGGGGAGGGGCAAAGGGGACCATAAGGTGGGGAGGGGCAGGTGTGTGACAGGTGTGACCCCTCCTCCCCTCCCCTCAGAGTCTCCCTGGACTCGACCCCGCCCCATCCAGGCCCCGCCCTCCAACCCTCCTGCAGCTCCGGGCACGAGGAGGCACCTCCAGGTGGGGAGGGCAAAAATGGGGGAGGGGCTGAAACGGGGGAGGGCAACGGGAGGCACCTCCAGGTGGGGGAGGGGCTGAAATGGGGGAGGGGCTGAAATGGGGGAGGGGCAAAGGGAGGCACCTCCAGGTGGGGAGGGCTGAAATGGGGAGGGGCTAAAACAGGGAGGGACTTCCAAAGGTGGGGAGGGGCCAAGGGAGGCACCTCCAGGTGGGAGGGGCAAAAATGGGGGGAGGGGCAGCAAAGGTGGGGAGGGGCAAAGGGAGGCACCTCCAGGTGGGGAGGGCTGAAACGGGGGAGGGGCAAAAATGGGGGAGAGGGGCAAGGGAGGTACCTCCAGGTGGGGAGGGGCTGAAATGGGGAGGGGCCACAATTTGGGAGGAGGAGCTTTGAAAGGTGGGAGGAGAGGCATGAATTGGGAGGAGCCGCAATCTTTGGAGGAGGGCAGGCAATTGGGGAGGGCTGCACAATGAGTTGGGAGGGAGGGGCATTCAAAGGGGTTCAAAGAGGGAGGGGCCACAAAAGTGTTGTGGGAGGGCGCTCACAAGCTGTGGGGAGGAGGCCACAAAAGGGTGGGGAGGGGCGCACAATTTTGGGGGAGGGGCTACCAAAAGGTGGGGAGGGCCACAACTTTGGGAGGAGAGGGAGAAGTGAAGTTAGGGATTTGGGAGGAGAAGGTTTGGGGGATTTGGGGGGTTTTTTTGGGGGTGGGGGAGGGGTTTGAACTTTCCTCCTCCCCCCTCTCTTTCAGGATTGGGGCCCCCCCGGGGCTTTGGGACCCCCCCAGAACGGGTGGGGGAGGGGCCGAGGCGGCGACGGCGGACACCGAGTCAGGGTCGACTTCAAGGTGGGGAAACACCCAAAATTACCCCAAAATCACCCCAAAATTACCCCAAAATCACCCCAAAATACCCCCAAATCACCTCAAAATCATCCCAAAATCACCCCAAATCACCCCAGAATCACCCCAAATTACCCTTAAATACCCCAAAATAGCCCCAAATCATCCCAAAATCACTCAAAATCACCGAAAATCACCACAAAATTACCCAAAATCACCCCAAATTACCCCAAAATCACCCTAAAATAACACAAAATCACCCCAAAATCACCCTAAAATCACCCCAAATTACCCCAAAATCAGCCCAAATCGCCCCAAATCACCCCAAAATCACCCAAAATGTCACAAAATCACACCAAATCATCCAAAAATCGCCCGAAATCACCCCCAAGTCACCCAGAATCACCCCAAATCACCTCAAAATCACCCAAAATCACCCCAAAATACCCCAAATTCACTCCAAATTGCCCCAAATCACCCCAAAATGTCACAAAATCACCCCAAATCACCTCAAAATACCCCCAAATCACCCCAAAAATCACCCCAAAATACCCCAAAATCACCCCAAATCAGCCCCAAATAACCCAAAATCACACAAAATCACCCCAAATCACCTCAAAATCACCCAAAATCACCCCAAAATACCCACAAATCACCCCCAAATCACCAAAAATACCCCAAATTCACTCCAAATTGCCCGAAATCATCCCAAAATGTCACAAAATCACCCCAAATCACCTCAAAATTACCCAAAATCAGCCCAAGATAACCCAAAATCACCTCAAAATAACCCAAAATTACGCCCAAATCACTTAAAATATCCCGAAATCACCCCAAATCAGCCCCAAATAACCCAAAATCACACAAAATCACCCCAAATTACCCCAAAATAACCCAAAATCGCACCCAAAATCAGCCCAAAATATCCTCAAATATTTTGGTGTTTTGGTGTTTCTGGGTGGTTTTTTTAGGGGGATTTTTACCAAAATTTCTGGTTTTTTTCCCAAATTTTTGATTTTTTTGCCCAATTTCTGCGTTTTTCTCCCCAAATCCAGGAGGGCTGTGCCCTGGAGAACGTGTGGCTGACGGGGGGGAGGGTTTGGGGTTGATTTTGGGGTGAATTTTCTGGGATTTTTGTTGAATTTAACATTTCTGGGTGAATTTTTTTGCTTTTTTTTCCAAATTTTTGATTTTTTTTGCCCAATTTCTGCATTTTTCTCCCCAAATCCAGGAGGGCTGTGTCCTGGAGAACGTGTGGCTGATTGGGGGGGCATTTTTTGGGTTAATTTGCTGGAATTTTGGTGGTTTTAGTTGATTTTTTTTGGTTTTTTTGCCAAAATTTCTCATTTTTTTTCCAAATTTTTGGGGTTTTTTGCCTGATTTCTGCGTTTTTCTCCCCAAATCCAGGAAGACTGTGCCCTGGAGAACGTGTGGCTGATGGGGGGGAGGGTTTTGGGGTTGTTTTTTGGGTGAATTTGCTGGAATTTTGGTGTTTCTGGGTGGGTTTTTTGGGGGATTTTTGCCCAAATTTCGATTTTTTTTCAAATTTTTGATTTTTTTGCCTAATTTCTGCATTTTTCTCCCCAAATTCAGGAGGGCCGTGCCCTGGAGAACGTGTGGCTGATGGGGGGAAGGGTTTGGGGTCATTTTTTGGGTGAATTTGCTGGAATTTTGGTGTTTCTGGGTGGATTTTTGGGGGATTTTTACCAAAATTTCAGATTTTTTTTAAAGTTTTTGATTTTTTTGCCCAATTTCTGCGTTTTTCTCCCCAAATCCAGGAGGGCTGTGCCCTGGAGAACGTGTGGCTGATGGGGGGGAGGGTTTGGGGTTGATTTTGGGGTGAATTTGCTGGGATTTTTGTTGAATTTAACATTTCTGGGTGAATTTTTTTGCTTTTTCTTCTAAATTTTGATTTTTTTTGCCCAATTTCTGCGTTTTTCCCCCCAAATTCAGGAGGACTGTGCCCTGGAGAGCGTGTGGCTGATGGGGGGGAGGGTTTGGGGTTGGGTTTTGGGTGAATTTGCTGGGATTTTGGTGGTTTTAGTTGATTTTTTGGGGGATTTTTTCCCAAATTTGGTTTTTTTTAAAAATTATATTTTTTTTTTGCCCAATTTGTGTGGTTTTCTCCCCAAATTCAAGAGGACTGTGCCCTGGAGAACGTGTGGCTGATGGGGGGAAGGGTTTGGGCTTGGTTTTTGGGTGAATTTGCTGGGATTTTGGTGTTTCTGGGTGGATTTTTTTGGTTTTTTTGCCAAAATTTCTCATTTTTTTTCCAAATTTTTAATTTTTTTGCCCAATTTCTGCATTTTTCTCCCCAAAATTCAGGAGGACTGTGCCCTGGAGAACGTGTGGCTGATGGGGGGTCTCAGCATCGTCTCCTCCGTGCCCGTCACCACCCCTCTGGTTTGTTTGCTCTGCGCCAGCAAAGGACTCCACCAGGTACCCAAAAACCCCCAAAATCGCCCCAAAATACCCCAAAATCACCCCAAAATACCCCAAACCCCAAATACCAAAAATACCCCAAAATCACCCCAAAATACCCCAAAATCACCCCAAAATACCCCAATCACCCCCCAAAATCACCCCAAAATAACCCAAAATTGCCTCAAAATCACCCCAAAATACCCCAAAATCACCCCAAAATATCTAAAATACCCCAAAACCCCCCAAATCACCCCAAAATACCCCAAAATCGCCCCAAAATCATTCCAAAATACCCCAAAATCACCCAAAATACCCCAAAATCATTCCAAAATCACCCCAAAATACCCCAAAATCACCCCAAAATCACCCCAAAATAAGCCAAAATCACCTCAGAATCACCCCAAAATACCCCAAAATACCCCAAAATACCCCAAAATTGCCTCAAAATCACCCCAAAATACCCCAGAATTACCCCAAAATACCCCCAAAATACCCCCAAATCACCTCAAAACCCCCGAAAATATCCCAAAATACCCCCAAATCACCCCAAATCACCCCAAAATACCCCAAAATCGCCCCAAAATCTTCCAAAATCACCCCAAAGTACCCCAAAATCACCTCAAAATGTAGAAATTTAAAGGGGGGGTCACCAGAATTCGAAACAGCCCCAAAAATCCCATTTTTGGCCTCAAAAATGTGATTTTTGACCCTAAAAATATGATTTTTGGCCTCAAAAATGTGATTTTTGACCTCAAAAATGTGATTTTTGATCTCAAAAATGTGATTTTTGACCCCCAAAAATGTGATTTTTGACCCCAAAAATGTGATTTTTGACCCCAAAAATGTGATTTTTGACCCCAAAATGCTTCGTAAATTTGATCTTTTGGGGATTTTTTGGTTGTTTGGAGTTGTTTTTGGGAGTCTCCAAAAGTTAGGAGGGTCCGAAAATTTTGGGAGTTTGGTCATTTAGGTGAATTTTCAGAGTCATTTGGAGTGATTTTCAGTGTTGGGGTGATTGTTGGAGTCATTTGGGTGAATTTGGAGTCATTTTAAGGTGAATTTGTGGGTCATTTGGAGTGATTTTGGGTCATTTCAGAGTGAGTTTTGGGTCATTTAGGTGATTTTGGGTCATTTGAATGATTTTAGGGTTATTAGGTGATTTACTAGGTCATTTGAGGATCTTTTGGGGTCTCAGGTGGGTTCTGGGGTCTCACCTGTGCCAGGTGTGCCCTCGGGGGGCACCTGAGGGGAAGATTTTGGGTCATTTTGGGTGAATTTGGGGTCATTTCAGGTGAATTTTGGGTCGTTTCGGGTGCTTTTTGTTCATTTTGGGTGATTTTTGGGTCATTTTGGGTGATTTTGGGGTCATTTGGGGTGATTTTTGGGTCATTTTGCGTGAATTTTGGGGTCTCAGGTGGGTTTTGGGGTCTCACCTGTGCCAGGTGTGCCCACGGGGGGCACCTCAGGGGTGGATTTTGGGGTCATTTTGGGTGATTTTTGGGGTCATTTCGGGTGATTTTGGGTTCATTTTGGGGGGTGATTTTGGGAGGAGTTTGGGGTCATTTTGGGTGAATTTTGGGGTCATTTCAGGTGATTTTGGGGTCATTTTGGGTGATTTTGGGGTCATTTCAGGTGATTTTGGGGTCATTTTTGGGGGGTGATTTTGGGGTCATTTTTGGGGGGTGATTTTGGGAGGAGTTTGGGGTCATTTTGGGTGAATTTTGGGGTCAGTTTGGGTGATTTTGGGGTCATTTTGGGTGATTTTGGGGTCATTTTGGGTGAATTTTGGGGTCTCAGGTGGGTTTTGGGGTCTCACCTGTGCCAGGTGTGCCCATGGGGGGCACCTGAGGGGTGGATTTGGGGTCATTTTGGGTGATTTTGGGGTCATTTTGGGTGATTTGGGGGTCATTTTGGGTGATTTTTGGGGTCATTTCAGGTGATTTTGGGTTCATTTTGGGGGGTGATTTTGGGAGGAGTTTGGGGTCATTTTGGGTAAATTTTGGGTCATTTGGGGTGAATTTGAGGTCATTTGGGGTGAATTTTGTGTTCTCAGGTGGGTTTTGGGGTCTCACCTGTGCCAGGTGTGCCCACAGGGGGGCACCTGAAGGTTCCTCTGCTGCATTTTGGGGCCAAATTGGTTCATTTTGGTCAATTTTAATGCAATTTTTTGGGGGTTTCGGGTATTTTGGGGGTTCAGGTGAGCTCAGGTGCCTCACCTGTGCCCCTTTGTGCAGCTGGTGCTGTGCCAGGTGTGCCCACGGGGGGCACCTGAGGGGTGGATTTTGGGTCACTTTGGTGTAATTTAATCAATTTTAATACAATTTTTTTGGGGGTTTTGGTATTTTTTGGGTATTTTGGGGGGTCAGGTGAGCTCAGGTGCCTCACCTGTGCCCCTCCCCCCAGCTGGTGCTGTGCCAGGTGTGCCCACGGGGGGCACCTGAAGGTTCTTTTGCTGCATTTTGGGGCCAAATTGGTGCATTTTGGTCAATTTTAATGGGATTTTTTGGGATTTTTGGTATTTTTTTTGGGTATTTTGTGGGCTCAGGTGAGCTGAGGTGCCTCACCTGTGCCCCTCCCCCCCTCCTGCAGCTGGTGCTGTGCCAGGTGTGCCCACGGGGGGCACCTGAGGGGTGGATTTTGGGTCATTTTGGGCCATTTTGGGTGATTTTTGGTCAATTTTAATGCGATTTTTTTGGGGTTTTTGGTATTTTTTGGGTATTTTGTGGGCTCAGGTGAGCTGAGGTGCCTCACCTGTGCCCCCTCCCCCAGCTGGTGCTGTGCCAGGTGTGCCCACGGGGGGCACCTGAGGGGTGGATTTTGGGTCATTTTGGGTGATTTTTGGTCAATTTGAATGCGATTTTTTTGGGGGTTTTTGGTATTTTTTGGGTATTTTGGGGGCTCAGGTGAGCTCAGGTGCCTCACCTGTGCCCCTTTGTGCAGCTGGTGCTGTGCCAGGTGTGCTGCCAGCCCTTCCACACCTTCTGCCTGGGCGCGGGGGAGGGGCCGGGGCCGGGCCAGGCCCAGACCTGGAGCTGCCGGCGCTGCAAGAGCTGCGGGGTCTGCGCCAGGAGGGGGCGCCACAACAAGGTACCTGGGGACAGGTGACGTCACCTGGGAGTGATGGGGACACACCTGGGGACAGGGGGAGGGGGAGGGAGCTGCGGGGTCTGCGCCAGGAGGGGGCGCCACAACAAGGTACCTGGGGACAGGTGACATCACCTGGGGACACCTGGGGACAGCTGGGAGGGATGGGGACACACCTGGGGACAGGTGACATCACCTGGGGACAGGGGAGGGGAGGGAGCTGCGGGGTCTGCGCCAGGAGGGGGCGCCACAACAAGGTACCTGGGGACAGGTGACATCACCTGGGGACAGGTGACATCATCTGGGGACACCTGGGGACACCTGGGGACAGGTGACATCACCTGGGAGTGAGGGGACACACCTGGGGACAGGGGAGGGAGGAGCTGCGGGGTCTGCGCCAGGAGGGGGCGCCACAACAAGGTACCTGGGGACAGGTGACATCACCTGGGGACAGGTGACATCACCTGGGACACACCTGGGGACACCTGGGGACAGGTGACATCACCTGGGGTGATGGGACACACCTGGGGACAGGGGAGGGGAGGAGCTGCGCGGTCTGCGCCAGGAGGGGGCGCCACAACAAGGTACCTGGGGACAGGTGACATCACCTGGGGACAGGTGACATCATCTGGGGACACCTGGGGACACCTGGGGACAGGTGACATCACCTGGGACACACCTGGGGACAGGGGGAGGGGGAGGGAGCTGCGGGGTCTGCGCCAGGAGGGGGCGCCACAACAAGGTGAGTGACATCACCTGGGACACACCTGGGGACACCTGGGGACACCTGGGGACAGGTGACATCACCTGAGAGAGGTGACATCACCTGGGGACACCTGGGAGTGATGGGGACACACCTGGGGCCAAGGGGAGGGGGAGGGAGCTGCTCGGTCTGCGCCAGGAGGGGGCGCCACAACAAGGTACCTGAGACAGGTGACATCACCTGGGGACAGGTGACATCACCTGAGAGAGGTGACATCACCTGGGGACACCTGGGGACAGGTGACATCACCTGGGAGGGATGGGGACACACCTGGGGACAGGTGACATCACCTGGGGACACCTGGGAGGGATGGGGACACACCTGGGGACAGGGGGAGGGGGAGGGAGCTGCTCGGTCTGCGCCAGGAGGGGGCGCCACAACAAGGTGAGTGACGTCACCTGGGGACACCTGGGGACACCTGGGGACACCTGGGGACAGGTGACGTCACCTGGGACAGGTGACATCATCTGGGGACACCTGGGAGTGATGGGGACACACCTGGGGACAGGGGGAGGGGGAGGGAGCTGCGGGGTCTGCGCCAGGAGGGGGCGCCACAACAAGGTAAATGACGTCACCTGGGACAGGTGACGTCACCTGGGGACACCTGGGGACAGGTGATGTCATCTGGGGACACCTGGGAGTGATGGGGACACACCTGGGGACAGGGACAGGGGGAGGGAGCTGCGGGGTCTGCACCAGGAGGGGGCGCCACAACAAGGTAAATCACTCACCTGGGGACAGGTGACATCACCTGAGAGAGGTGACATCATCTGGGAGTGATGGGGACACACCTGGGGACAGGGGGAGGGGGAGGGAGCTGCTCAGTCTGCGCCAGGAGGGGGCGCCACAACAAGGTGAGTGACATCACCTGAGACACCTGGGACAGGTGACGTCACCTGAGACAGGTGACATCATCTGGGGACACCTGGGGACACCTGGGGACAGGTGACATCACCTGAGAGAGGTGACATCACCTGGGGACACCTGGGGACAGCTGGGGACAGGTGACATCACCTGGGACAGGTGACATCATCTGGGGACATTTGGGGACATTTGGGGACACTTGAGGGGTCAGGGAAGGGGTTTTTGGGGGTCCCAGAGTTGTTTTGGGGGGTCCTTGACCCATTTTTGGGGTTTCCTGAGGTTTTTTTGGGGGGTTTTGTGGGGTTTTTGAGGGTCCCAGATCCATTTTTAGGGGTCCCTGAGGGGTTTTTAGGGGGGCTTTGGGGGTCCCAGAGCCATTTTTGGGGTCCCTGACTCCTTTTTGGGCTTCCAGATCAATTTTTAGGGGTCTCAGACCCATTTTTGGGGGTCCCAGGGGTTTTTGGGGGTCCCAGATCCATTTTTAGGGGTCCCAAGGGTTTTTTGGGGGTCCCTGAGGGGTTTTTGGGGGGTTTTTAGCGGTCCCTGACTATTTTGGAGGTCCCAGACCCATTTTTGGGGGTCCCAAGGGTTTTTGGGGGGTTTTAGGGGGGTTTTTAGGGTCCCAGATCCATTTTTGGGGGTCCCAGACCCATTTTTGGGGTCCCCTGACCCTTTTTTTGCCCCCCCAGCCCCTCCTGGAGTGTGGGGCTGTTCTGGGGGTTTTGGGGGGTTTTTTGGGGGATTTTGGGGTGTTTTGGGGGTCCCAGGGTTTTAGGGGTTTTGGGAGTCCCAGACCCGTTTTTAGGGGTCCCAGGGGTTTTGGGGTCCCAGATCCATTTTGGGGTCCCAGACCCGTTTTGGGAGTCCCAGGGGGTTTTGGGGTCCCAGATCCATTTTGGGGGTCCCAGATCCATTTTTGGGGGTCCCAGACCCGTTTTTGGGGGTCCCAGGGGTTTTTGGGGGTTTGGGGTTTTTGGGGTCCCAGTGGTTTTGGGGGGGTTTTGGGGGTTTTGGGGTCCCAGATTCATTTTGGGGGTCCCAGAGGCGTTTTGGGGGTCCCTGACCCTTTTTTGCCCCAGCCCCTCCTGGAGTGGGGGGCTGTTCTGGGGGTTTTGGGGTCCCAGACCCATTTTGGGGTCCCAGATCCATTTTGGGGGTCCCAGGGGTTTGGGGTTTGGGGTCCCAGAGAGGTTTTTGGGGGTCCCAGACCCATTTTTGGGGTTCCTTGAGGTGTTTTGCTAGCCCGTCCTGGAGTGGGGTTGTTCTGGGGGTTTGGGGGGTTTTGGGGTCCCAGATCCATTTTGAGGGTCCAAGGGTTTTTGGGGGCTTTTGGGGTCCCAGACCCATTTTTGGGGTCCCAGATCCATTTTTGGGGTCCCAGATCCATTTTTGGGGTTTTGGGGGGTTTTGGGGTCCCAGAGAGGTGTTTGGGGATCCCTGACCCGGTTTTGGGGGTCCCAGACCCATTTTGGGGTTTGTGGGGTTTTGGGGTCCCAGATCCATTTTGGGGTCCCAGACCCATTTTTGGGGTCCCAGATCCATTTTGGGGTTTTGGGGTCCTGACCTCTTTTTACCCCCAGCCCCTCCTGGAGTGCGGGCGGTGCCGCCGTTGTTTCCACCCGGCGTGTTTGGGGTCCAGAGCCTCCAGACCCCGGAATTTGGGTGAGTGGGGGGAGGGCTGATTTTGGGGGAGGGGGAAGGGGCTGATTTTTGGGGAGGAGGGTGGATTTGGGTTGGGAGGTTAATTTGGGAGGTTTTCCCAAATTTGAGGGAGGAAGCTCTGATTGGGGGTTTGCTTGGATTGGGGAGGGGCTCTAATTTGGGGGGGTTGTTGTAAATTTGGGGGGGTCTCCTCAAAATTTGGGGGAGCTCTAAATTTGGGGTCTTTTGCCCCAAATTTGGAGGAGAGTCTCCACCTAAATTTTGAGGGGTTTCTAAAGTAGGGAGGGTCTTTCCCTTAAATTGGGGGAGGGTCTCCCTGAGTTTTGAGGGGTTTCTAAATTGGGGAGGGTCTCCTCAAATTTTGGGGGAGTTTTCTAAATTCAAGGGGGTCTTTCCCCCAAATTTGGGGAGGGGTCTCCCTTTAATTTTGTGGGGAGGAGGCTGTAAATTTGGGGAGGGGTCTCCCTTTCTTTGGAGGTCTTTTCCCCGAATTTGGGAGGAGGGGTCTCCTTAAATTTGGGGAGGGGTCTCCTGAATTTTGGGGGGTTGTTCTAAATTTAGGGAGGGTCTGTCTCTTATATTTGGGGAGGGAGCTTTAAATTAGGGGAGGGGTCTCTACCCCAAATTTGGGGAGGGGTCTCCCTTTATTGGGGGGTCTCTCCAAATTTGGGGGAGGGGTCTCCCTTTGGGAGTCTCTCCAAATTTAGGGGAGGGTCTCCCTTTTTTTGGGAGTCTTTTCCCCAAATTTGGGGAGGGGTCTCCCTTTATTGGGGGGTCTCTCCCCCAAATTTGGGGGGAGGGGTCTCCTTTTTGGGGGTCTCTCCCCCAAATTTGGAGGAGGGCTCTCCCTTTTGGGAGAGGTCTCCCTTTGTGGAGGTCTCTCCCCAAATTTGGGGGAGGGTCTCCCTTTTATTGGAGGTCTTTCCCCAAATTTGGGAGAGGGGTCTCCTGAATTTTGGGGAGGGTCTCCCTTTTTGAGGGAGGTCTGTCCCCTGAATTTGGGGAGGGTCTCCCTTTTTGGGGGTCTCTCCCAAATTTGAGGAGGGTCTCCCTTTTGGGGGTCTCTCCCTTGAATTTTGGGGAGTGGGCTGTAAATTTGGGGGAGGGTCTCCCTTTTGGAGGTCTCTCCCCAAATTTAGGGAGGGGTCTCCCCCCCGAATTTGAGGAGGGGTCTCCCCGCTGACCCCTCCCCCCCCCAGCTGTGCTGGGGCTGTTCCAGATGTCGAAGCTGCGGCTCCCCCTGGGGTGGGGAGGGGGCAGGAGGAGGAGGAGGGGCAGGAGGAGGAGGAGGGGGCGTTGGGGACCCCCGGCCCTCCCCCACCCCAGGAAGGAAGGGGAGGGGACCCCCAGGCCGGGCTGTGCCCCCTGTGCCAGGAGAATCGGTGAGGGAGGAGGGGAGGGGAGGGGCCTGGGGGAGGGGCCTGGGGGATTTTAGGGGTCTGGGGGGGTTGGGGGGATTTGGGGGGTTTGGGGGGATCTGGGGGCAATTTGGGGAGTTTGAGGGGATTTAGGGAGTTTGAAGGGGATTTGGGGGAATTTTGGGGATTTGGGGAGGATTGGGGAATTGAGGGGTTTGGGGGAAGTTGGGGATTTAGGGGATTTGAGGGGTTTGGGGGAGATTGGGGGATTTGAGGGGGCATTTGGAGGGATTTGAGGGGATTTTGAGGGGAGGTTGGGGGGATTGGAGGGTTTGGGGGGATGTGGGGGATTTTGGGGAGTCTGAGGGGATTTGGGGAGGTTTGGGGATTTGAGGGGGATTTGGGGAGGGTTTGAGGGGATTTGGGGGGTTGGGGGATTTAGGGGAGGATTTTGAGGGGTTTGAGGGGGTTTGAGGGGGTTTGGGGGGGTTGGGGGGATTTGGGGGATTTGGGGGTGGTTGAAGGAGTCTGAGGGATTTGGGGGGTCTGAGGGGATTTGGGGGGTTTGGGAGGTTTGAGAAGGATTTGGGGGATTTTAGGGGAGTTTGGGGGGTTTGAGGGGATTGGGGGAGATTTGAGAAGGGATTTGGGGGATTTAGGGGATTTGGGGGATTTGGGGGGATTTGGGGTAGTTTGGGGGGATTTGAGGAGGATTTGGGGGGATTTGGGGGAGTCTGAGGGGATTTGGGGGATTTAAGGGGGATTTGAGGGAGATTTGAGGGGTTGGGGGTTTGAGGGAATTTTGGGGGATTTGGGGAGGTTGGGAGAGATTTTGGGGGATTTGAGGATTTGGGGATTTGGGGAGTCTGAGGGATTTGGGGGTTTAAGGAGTTGAGGGAGATTTGGGGGTTGGGGGTTTGAGGGAATTTTGGGGGGATTTGGGGAGGTTGGGGGAGATTTGGGGGGATTTGAGGGAGCTGAGGGATTTGGGAGAGTGGGCTGGGGCCATGGGGTTGGGGGATTTGGGGGTCTGAGGAGATTTGGGAGGAATTTGGGGGATTTGGGGGTTGAGGATGGGGATTTGGAGGATTTGGAGGATTTGGGGATTTGGGGGTTTGAGGGATTTTGTGATTCTAGGGGCGTTGGGGATTTGAGAGATTTGGGGGCTAGAGTTGGGGGGATTTGAGGAGATCTGAGGGATTTAGAGGTCTGGGAGTTTGGGGGGATTTGGGGATTTGGGGAGGTGGGGGATTTGGGGGGGTTGAGGGATTTGGGGGATTTGGGAGGTTAGGAGATTTGGGGGATTTGAGGATTTGGGGGAGTTTGAGGGGATTTGGGGGTGTTGGGGGATTTGAGGGGATTTGGAGGGGGTCTGAGGGATTTGGGGGATTTGGGGAGGATTTGGGGGGTTTGAGGGGATTTTGGGAGGATTTGGGGGGGTTGGGGGAAGATTTGGGGGAAGTTGGGGGATTTGGGGAGATTTGAGGGGATTTGGGGAAATTTTGGGGGGTTGGGAAGTTGGGAAGGTCTGAGGGGTTTGGGGGGTTTGGGGAGATTTGAGGGGTTTAGAGGGATTTGGGGGGAAGTTGGGGGGATTTGGGGGGTTTGAGGGGGACTTGAGGGGATTTGGGGGAGGTTTGAGAAGGATTTGGGGGATTTTGGGGAGTTTGGGGGAATTTGGGAGGATTTGGGGGAGTCTGAGGGGATTTGGGGGGATTTTGCCGGGATTTGGAGGGACTTTGAGGGGGATTTAGGGGAGGATTTGGGGATTTGGGGGTGGGTCTTGGGGATTTGAGAAGGTTTGAGGGGATTTTAGGTGGTTTTGGGTTATTTGGGGTCTCTGGGAAATTCTGGAGTATTTTTGGGTGATTTTGGGTTATTTTGAGGTTTGGGGAATTTTGTTCTTTTGGGTGATTTTGGGTTATTTTGGGTTTTCAGGAGGTTTTTGGGTGATTTTGGGTTATTTTGGCGTTCTGGGGAATTGTTGGGGTTTTTGGGTGATTTTTGGGTTATTTTGGATTTTTAGGAGGTTTTTTGGGTGATTTTGGGGTTTTTAGGAGGTTTTTTGGGTGATATTTGGGTTATTTGGGGTCTCTGGGGGGAATTCTGGAGTATTTTTTGGGTGATTTTTGGGTTATTTTGAGGTTTTGGGGGGAATTTTGTTCTTTTTTGGGTGATTTTTGGGTTATTTTGGGTTTTCAGGAGGTTTTGGGTGATTTTTGGGTTATTTTGGCGTTCTGGGGGGTATTTTGGGGGTTTTTGGGGTGATTTTTGGGTTATTTTGGGTTTTTATGAGTTTTTTTGGGTAATTTTGGGGTTATTTTGGGGGTTTTAGGTTTTTGGGGATTTTTGGGTGATTTTTGGGTTATTTTGGGGTTTTTAGGATGTTTTTTGGGTAATTTTTGGTTTATTTTGGGGTTTCTGACCCCCCCTTTTCCCCCCCCCTGCAGGGACCCCTGCCCTCTGTGTGGAGGGGGAAGCCCCTCCCCAAAAGGAGGAGGAGGAGGAAGAGGAGGGGAGGGGCCGGGGGGTGGGGAGGGCAGGCACTCAAGGGCCCCTCCCCACGCTGCACCTGCGGACGACGCCCCAGGTGAGGGAAGGGGAGGGCTTGGGACCCCAAAATAACCCCAAAATCAATCCTGGGACCCCCAAAATCACTCAAAACCCCCTGGGACCCCGAAAAATAACCCTAAAAACATCCTGGGACCCCCAAAACCCCCTGGGACCCCAAAAACCCCCTGGGACCCCACAAGATAACCCCAAAACCCCCTGGGACCCCAAAAACCACCCTGGGACCCCAAAATAACCCCAAAAACATCCCTGAGACCCCCAAAATCAACCTTGGGACCCCCAAAATCAACCCTGGGACCCCCAAAAGTTGGGGGAGGGGCTTTGGGACCCCCAAAAATAACCCCAAAATCACCCCTGGGACCCCCAAAACCCCCTGGGACCCCCAAAAATCACCCAAAACCCCCTGGGACCCCGAAAAATAACCTTAAAAACATCCTGGGACCCCCAAAACCACCCTGGGACCCCCAAAACCCCTGGGACCCCAAAACCACCCTGGGACCCCAAAATTCCCCTGAGACCCCCAAAAATTGGGGGAGGGGCTTTGGGACCCCCCAAAATAACCCCAAAAACATCCCTGGGACCTCCAAACCCTCTCTGGGACCCCCAGAACTCCCCCTGGGACCCCCAAAAATCACCCAAAACCCCCTGGGACCCCCAAGAACCCTCTGGGACCCCAAAATCCACCCTGGGATCCCCAAAACTCCCTGAATCCCCAAACCCCCTGGGACCCCCAAATCCTCTGGGACCCCCAAAATTTTGGGGAGGGACTTTGGGACCCTCAAAATCCCCAAAACCCCCTGGGACCCCAAATCCCTCTGGGACCCCCAAAACTCCCCCTGGGACCCCCAAAAACTCCTCCTGGAACCCCCAAAACCCCTGAGACCCCAAAACCCTTTAGGACCCCAAAATCCACCCTGGGACCCCCAAAAATTTTCTGGGACCCCCAAAAATTGGGGGAGGGACTTTAAGACCCCTCAAAATCCCCCCAAAACCCCCCTGGGACCCCCAAAAATTGGGGGAGGGACTTTAAGACCTCTCCAAACCCCCAAAACCTCCCTGGGACCCCAAAAAATTACCCAAAAACATTCCTGGGACCCCAAATCCCCTGGGACCCCAAAACCCCCAAAACCCCTCCTGGGACCCCCAAAATTCCCCAAATCCCTCTGGGACCCCCCAAATTTTATGGGGGGGTGAATTTTGGGGTCCCCCCCCCTGATTTTTGTGCCCCCTCCCCCCAATTTCAGGGTCCCTGCAGGGGGGGCTGCAGGAGGTGCTGGGGGGGCTCCTGAGCTCCCCCCACGGCCCCGCCCTCCTCACCTGTCAGCAGGTAACGACACCTGGGGGGGGTTCTGGGGACACTTTGGGGACATTTTGGGATCATTTGGGGGCATTTGGGGACATTTTGGGACATTTTGGGGACAGTTGGGGACATTTGGGGTCATTTTGGGGCTATTTTGAGACATTTAGGTGTCATTTTGGGGACATTTAGGGACATTTAAGGTCATGTGGGGACCATTTGGGGACATTTTGGGACACTTTGGGGACATTTTGGGGTCATTTTGGGAACATTTTGGGGACATTTAAGGTCATGTGGGGATCATTTGGGGTCATTTTGGGGACATTTGGGGTCACTTTGGGGGCATTTGGGGACATTTTGGGGCACTTGGGGGGCTTAAAATACTCTTGGGAACATTTTGGGATCATTTGGGGTCATTTTGGGGGAATTTGGGATTATTTTGGGGTCATTTTGGGGTCACTTTGGGTCACATTGGGACATTTTGGGATTATTTAGGGACATTTTGGGTCATTTGGGGTCATTTTGGGATCATTTTGGGATCATTTGGGGACATTTTGGGACATTTTTGGGACAGTTGGGGTCATTTGGGGACAGTTGGAGTCATTTTGGGATCATTTTTGGGACCAATTTGGGGACAGTTGGGGTTATTTTGGGGCCATTTGGGGTCATTTTGGGGACAGTTTAGGACATTTTTTGGATATTTTGGGGTCATTTTGGGGCTATTTTAAGACATTTAAGTGTCATTTTGAGGACATTTTGGGGGCACTTGGGGTCATTTTGGGGCCATTTGGGTCCATTTGGGATCATTGGGGGCATTTTGGGGACAGTTTAGGACATTTTGGGGCATTTTGGGGTCATTTTGGGGTCATTTTGGGACCATTTGGGGACATTTTGGGATAATTTAGGGACATTTTTTGGATATTTTGGGGTCATTTTGGGGCTATTTTGAGACATTTAGGTGTCATTTTGGGGACATTTTGGGGACATTTAAGGTCACGTGGGGATCATTTGGGGACATTTTGGGACATTTTGGGACAGTTGGGGTCATTTTGGGTCATTTGGGGTCATTTGGGACATTTTGGGACCATTTGGGGGACATTTGGGGCTATTTTGAGACATTTAAGTGTCATTTTGGGGACATTTTGGGGACATTTAAGGTCATGTGGGGATCATTTGGGGTCATTTTGGGGACATTTGGGGACACTTGGGGGGGTTAAAACTCTTGAGGACATTTTGGGGACATTTTGGGGACGTTTGGGGTTATTTTGGGGCCATTTGGGATCATTTTGGGATCATTTGGGACATCCTGAGTCATTACATTTTGGGGTCATTTGAGGCATTTTAGGTCCATTTGGGGTCATTTGGGGACATTTTGGGGTCATTTGGGGACATTTGGGGTCATTTGGGGTCATTTGGGGACATTTTGGGGTCATTTAGGGATCATTTGGGACATCCTGGTATCATTTTGGGGTCATTTTGAATCATTTTAGGTCCATTTGGGGTCATTTGGGGACATTTTGGGGTCATTTGGGGACATTTGGGGTCATTTGGGGTCATTAGGACATTTTGGGGTCACTGAGACATTTGGGGTCATTTGGGGTCATTTGGGGACATTTTGGGGTCATTTGGGACATTTGGGGTCATTTTAGGGTCACTTCTGGGAGATTTTGGGGTCATTTGGGACATTTGGGGTCATTTTGGGGACATTTGGGGTCATTTTGGGGACATTTGGGGTCATTTTGGGGACATTTGGGGACACTTGGGGGGGGTTAAAATACTCTTGGGGACATTTTGGGGACATTTTGGGGACGTTTTGGGGACGTTTGGGGTCATTTTGGGATCATTTTGGGATCATTTTGGGACCATTTGGGGTCATTTTGGGATCATTTTGGGGTCATTTTGGGATCATTTGGGACATTTTGGGACCTATTTGGGGACATTCGGGATCATTTTGGGACCATTTGGGGACATTTTGGGGTCGTTTGGGGCCAGCTGGGGGGGTTAAAACCACACCTGGGGGGGCATTTTGGGGACATTTTGGGGTATTTTGGGACATTTTTGGGACAGTTGGGGTCATTTTGGGACCATTTGGGACATTTTGGGATCATTTGGGGACATTTTGGGGTCATTTTGGGGTCATTGGGGGACATTTGAGGGCATTTTGTGACATTTTGGGATCGTTTGGGGACATTTTAGGACATTTTGGGGTATTTTGGGACATTTTGGGGTATTTGGGGACGTTTTGGGATCGTTTAGGGTAATTTTGGGGACATTTGGGGACACCTGGGGCGGTTAAAACCACACCTGGGGGGGTTCTGGGGACACTTTGGGGACATTTTGGGGTATTTGGGGTCATGTGGGGACCATTTGGGGACATTTGGGGACATTTTGGGACCATTTGGGGACACCTGGGGGGGTTAAAATACTCTGGGGGACATTTTGGGGACATTTTGGGGTCATTTTGGGGTATTTTGGGATCATTTTAGGGACATTTGGGGAGGTTTTGGGTCACTTGGGGATATTTGGGGTCATTTTGGGGCACTTTGGGACGTTTTGGGGACATTTTGGGACCATTTGGGGTCATTTTGGGATCATTTTGGGGTCATTTTGGGATCATTTTGGGATCATTTGGGACATTTTGGGACCATTTGGGGACATTTTGGGCTCATTTTGGGGTCACTTCTGGGAGATTTTGGGGTCATTTTGGGAACATTTTAGGGACACTTGGGGTCATTTTGGGGTCATTTTAGGGACATTTTGGGATCATTTAGGGACATTTTGGGGACATTTTGGGGTCATTTTGGGATCATTTTGGGACATTTTGGGATCATTTTGGGGACATTTTGGGATAATTTGGAGACATTTGGGGTCATTTTGGGGTCACTTTTGAGAGATTTTGGGGTCATTTTGGGAACATTTTAGGGACACTTGGGGTCATTTTGGGGACATTTGGGGTCATTTGGGGGGGGTTAAAAACACCCCTGGGGGGTTCTGGGGACATTTGGGGACATTTTGGGGTATTTTGGGACATTTTGGGGACAGTTGGGGTCACTTTGGGATAATTTAGGGACATTTTGGGGACATTTGGGGCTATTTTGAGACATTTAAGTGTCATTTTGGGGACATTTTGGGGGCATTTGGGGACATTTTGGGACATTTGGGGGGGTTAAAATACCCTGGGGGACATTTTAGGATCGTTTGGGATCATTTTGGGGAAATTTGGGATTATTTTGGGGTCATTTTGGGGTCATTTTGGGGTCATTTGGGGTCATTTGGGGGGGGTTAAAAACACCCCTGGGGGGTTCTGGGGACACTTTGGGGACATTTGGGGACATTTGGGGTCACTTTGGGGTCATTTTGGGGTATTTTGGGACATTTTGGGACATTTTGGGGTCATTTTGGGATCATTTTGGGACATCCTGGTATCATTTTGGGGTCATTTTGAATCATTTTGGGTCCATTTGGGGTCATTTGGGGTCATTTTGGGAGATTTTGGGGTCATTTTGGGGACACTTGGGGTCACTTTGGGGGCATTTGGGGACATTTTGGGGACATTTTTGGGGGGGTTAAAATACTTTGGGGGACATTTTAGGATCGTTTGGGATCATTTTGGGGAAATTTGGGATTATTTTGGGGTCATTTTGGGGTCATTTTGGGGACATTTTGGGGTCACTTTGGGTCACACTGGGACATTTTGGGATTATTTAGGGACATTTTGGGGTCATTTTGGGATTATTTAGGGACATTTTGGGGTCATTTTGGGACATTTGGGGGGGGTTAAAATCCTCTTGGGGACATTCTGGGGTCATTTGGGTATCATTTGGGGACATTTGGGGTCATTTTGGGACCAATTTGGGGACGGTTGGGGTTATTTTGGGGTCATTTTGGGCTCGTTTTGGGGTCATTTTGAATCATTTTGGGACCAATTTGGGAACAGTTGGGGTTATTTTGGGGCCATTTGGGATCATTTTGGGGGCATTTGGGGACATTTGGGGTCACTTTGGGTTCATTTTGGGTCATTTTAAGATCATTTTGGGACCATTTGGGGTCATTTGGGATCATTTGGGGACATTTGGGGACGTTTTGGGATCATTTGGGGAGCATTTGGGGTCATTTTGGGGTCATTTTGGGACCATTTTGGGGACATTTTGGGGTCATTTTGGGGACATTTGGGGTCACCTGGGGACAATTTGGGTCCATTTGGGAGCATTTTGGGGTCATTTCGGATCATTTTGGGGTCATTTTGGGTCACTTTGGGGAGATTTTGTGGTCATTTTAGGACATCTGGGGGCATTTGGGGTGGTTAAAATACTCTGGGGGACATTTTGGGGTCATTTGGGGTCATTTTGGGATCATTTGGGGGTCATTTGGGACGTTTTGGGGACATTTTGGGACATTTGGGGTTATTTTGGGATTATTTTGGGGCCATGTATGAATATTTTGGGGTCACTTGAGGCCATTTGGGGTCGCTTGGGGACATTTGGGGACATTTTGGGACAATTTTGGGATCATTTTGTGTCCTTTTCGGGTCATTTTGGGATCATTTTGGGATCATTTGGGGACATTTTGTGTCCATTTTGGGGTCATTTTAGGGACATTTTAGGGTAATTTTGGGACTATTTTGGGTCATTTTGGAACCAATTTTTTGGGGGGGTGGGGGAGGGGCGTCCAAAAAATTGTAGGAGGGTTTAACCTTTGATCTTTGACCTTTGACCTTTGACCTTTGCCCCTGCAGTGCCTCCGGGGTCCCAAAATCACCCCGGGCCCTGCGACCTCCGAGCGGTTCAGGAGAGGCTGAGGGGAGGGGTACCCCATCTGGTGAGGGGGAGGGCACCCAAAATTGGGGGAGGGCCAAAAATTTGGGGGAGGGGCCAAAATTGGGGTCAAAATGGGGATTTTGGGGGGTTTTGGGGGTTTGTGGGGATTTTGGGGGTCTGGGAGGGGGAGAGGGGATTGAGGGGGAGGGTACCCTCATCTGGTGAGGGGGAGGGCACCCAAAATTTGGGGGAGGGGTTAAAATTTTGGGGGAGGGGCCAAAAATTGGGGTCAAAAACGGGGATTTTGGGGGGTTTGGGGGTATTTTGGGGGGTCTGGGAGGGGGAGAGGGATTGAGGGGGAGGGGTACCTACATCTGGTGAGGGGGAGGGCACCCAAAATATGGGGGAGGGACCAAAATTGGGGTCAAAAATTGGGGGAGGGCCAAAAATTGGGGTCAAACCTGGGGATTTTGGGGGATTTGGGGGTTTTGGGGGTCTGGGAGGGGGAGAGGCTCGAGGGGAGGGGTACCTCATCTGGTGAGGGGGAGGGGCACCCAAAATTTGGGGGAGGGACCAAAATTGGGGTCAAAAATTTGGGGGAGGGGCCAAAATTGGGGTCAAAATGGGGATTTTGGGGGTTTTGGGGGGATTTTTGGGGGATTTGGGGGAAAAGAGAGGTCTGAGGTGGGGAGGGGCACCCCAAAATTTGGGGGGAGGGTTAAAAATTTAAGGAGGGAGGGTTAAAAATTGGGGGAGGGGCCAAAAATTGGGGTCAAAAATGGGGATTTTGGGGGGATTTTGGGAGTTTTTTGGGGGTTTTGGGGCACCTAAGGGTGGGGAGGGGAACCCTGAGCTGGTGGGAAGGGGAGGGGCACCCAAAAATTTGGAGGGGGAGGGGCAACAAAAATCGGGGGTGGGGGAGGGGCTAAAAATTTTGGGGAAAAAGGGGGAGGGGAAGAATTTTGGGGGATTTTGGGTGGATTTGGGGAGATTTTGGGTGGGGTCTCACCTGCCCCTCCCTCCCCAGCAGGGTTCCTGTCGGACGTGCTGGGGTCCTGGAAAGGGGGAGGGGGGACGACCCTCTCCCAACCCCTCCCCACCCTGGGGGCCCAAGAGCTGCTCCTCAAGGTGAGGGGGAGGCGCCCAAAAATGGGGGAGGGGAACCCAAAAAGGGGGAGGGGTCAAAAATCCGGGTGAAAATGGGGGAAAAGGGAATTTTGGGAGGGATTTTGGGGAAAAAAGTGAGGTTTGAGGTGGGGAGAGGGGCACCCAAAAATGGGGGAGGGTCAAAAATTTAGGGGAGGGGTCAAAAATCTGGGGGAAAATGGCAGAAAAAAGGGAATTTTGGGGTATTTTTAGGGGGAAAAAGAGAGGTTTGACGTGGGAGAGGCAGCCAAAAATGAGGGGAGGGGAACCCCAAAAAGGGGGAGGGCAGCCTAAAACTGGGGAGGGGTAGCCAAAAATGGGGAGTGGGCACAAAAATTGGGGAGGGGCCAAAATGGGAGGGGCAGCCAAAAATGGGGGAGGGCAGCCAAAAATTGGGGGAGGGGCACAAAAAAAGGGGGGAGGGCACCCAAAATTGGGGGAGGGGCCAAAATGTGGGGGAGGAATCCTAAAAGGGGGAGGGGCAGTTACAGGTGGAGGAGGGGTCCTAAAGAGGGTGGGGAGGGGTCAATAAAATGGGGAGGGGAATCCCTAAAAATTGGGTGGGTAGTGGGGAGGGGCAGTTGAAGAGGGAAGGGTCTTAATAAAGGTGGGGAGGGGCACCTGGGGTGGGGAGGGAAACTTTATATTTGGAGTGGGGAGACAAAAAACCCCAAAATCCCTAAAAGGGTGGGAGGGGCTTGGTTTGACTCAGGGGATGGGGAGGGTCTCTGGGGGTGGGGAGGGCACCAAACCCCTCCCCTCCCCCTCTCAGCTGGTGGGCGACGCCTTCCTGGTTCGACTCCCGGACCCCAAGACTTGGAGCCCTCTGGACCCCCAGACCCCAAGTGAGTGATTTTGGGGGAGGGGATTTGGGGGTCTTGGGGGATTTGGGGGTTCTGGGGGATTTGGGGGTCCTGGGGGATTTGGGGTAGTTTTGGGAGGGGCATGGGGGAGTTTGGGGGTCCTGGGGGATTTGAGGAGTCCGGGGAGATTTGGGGGTCCTGAGGGATTTGGGGGTCCTGGAGGGATTTGGGGAGTCCTGGGGGATTTGGGGGTCCTGGAGGGATTTGGGGGTCCTGGGTTGGTTTTGGGGTCCTGGGGGATTTTGGGGGTCCTGGAGGGGTTTGGGGGTCTTGGGGGTTTTTGGGGATCCTAGGGGAGATTTGGGGGTTCAGGAGGGATTTGGGGGGAGGGGATTTGGGGGTCCTGGGGGATTTTGGGGTCCTGGAAGGAATTTTGGGGTCTTGGGGTTGTTTTGGGGGTCCTGGGGAGTTTTGGGGGTCCTGGAGGGGATTTGGGGTCTCTAGGGATGGTTTTGGGGGTCCCAGGGTGGTTTTTGGGGTATTTTGGGGGTCCCAGGGTTGTTTTTGGGGTATTTTGGGGGTCCCAGGGGTGATTTTGGGGTCTCTAGGTGCTGATTGTGGGGGTCCCAGGCTTGGTTTTGGGGTATTTTGGGGGTCCCAGGTTTGTTTTTGGGGTTATTTTGGGGGTCCCAGTATCATTTATTTTGCCTGCTGACCCCTCCCATTTTATTCTCTCTCCCCCCTCCCCACATTTTGCCCTCCCCCAGTGGGCCCCTCCCCATGCGGTGCTGCCCCTCCAGCGACTCACACCTACGCCCAGTGGCGCCACGACGAGGCCCCGCCCACCACGGGTAAGACACGCCCACCCCTCCCCAGCCACGCCCACTTCTCTCTGGCCACGCCCATCCCTCCCTGGGACACGCCCACTTCTCTGTGGACACGCCCACCCCCAACTGGGACACGCCCACCCCAGACCACGCCCACCCTCAGCTGGGACACGCCCACCCATTACAAGACATGCCCACTCACCCCAGACCACGCCCACCCCTCTCTGGACACACCCACCTCTCCATGGACACGCCCACCCCATCTAGGACATGCCCACCCATGCCAGGACACGCCCACTCCTCCCTGGATACGCCCACCCATGACAGGACACGCCCACCCCATGCCAGGACACACACACCCCTCCTGGGACATGCCCACCCTATCTAGGACATGCCCACCCATGCAAGGACACGCCCACCCCAACTGGGACATGCCCACCCATGACAGGACACGCCCACTCCATGCCTGGACATGCCCATCCCTCTCTGGACATGCCCGCCCATGACAGGACACGCCCACCCCTCTCTGGACACGCCCACCCCCATCTAGGACACGCCCACCCCTCTCTGGACATGCCCACTCCCTCCATGGGCATGCCCACCCCATCTAGGACACACCCACCCATACCAGGACACACCCACTTCTCTCTGGCCACACCTCACCCTCCCCAGCCACGCCCACTCCTCCCTGGACACGCCCACCCCAAACCACGCCCATCCTCTCTGGACATGCCCACCCCAGGCCACGCCCACCCCAGGCCACGCCCACCCATGCCAGGACACGCCCACCCTCCCTGGACACGCCCACCCATGCCAGACCACGCCCACCCACCCTGGACCACGCCCACCCTCTAGGACACGCCCACCCATGCCAGGACACGCCCACCCATGCCAGGACACGCCCACCCCTCACAGGACATGCCCACCCCAAACCACGCCCACTCCTCTCTTGACATACCCACCCCAGGCCACGCCCACCCTCCAGGCCACGCCCACCCCATGCCAGGACATGCCCACCCACCCCAGACCACGCCCACCCATGCCGGGACACGCCCACCCCTCCTGGGACACGCCCACCCATGCCAGGACCACACCCACCCACCCCAGACCACGCCCACTCTCCAGGACACGCCCATCCATGCCAGGACACACCCACCCATGCCAGGACAAGCCCACCCACCCCAGACCACGCCCACCCATGCCAGGACACGCCCACCCCTCTCTGGACACGCCCACCCCTTCCTGGACACGCCCACCACCACTGGGACACGCCCACCCATGCCAGGACACGCCCACCCTCCCTGGGCACGCCTACTCCTCCCAGGACACGCCCACCCACCTGAGACCATGCCCACCCATGCCAGGACACACCCACTCCTCCATGGACACACCCACCCTCTCTGGACACGCCACCCATGCCACGACACACCCACCTCTCTATGGACACGCCCACCCATGCCAGGACACGCCCACCCCTCTCTGGACACGCCCACCCATGCCACGACACACCCACCCCTCTATGGACACGCCCACCCATGCCAGGACACGCCCACCCCTCTCTGGACACGCCTACCCTCCCTGGACACACCCACCCATGCCAGGACACGCCCACCCCTCTGTGGACACGCCCACCCATATCAGGCGACGCCTACCCCTCCCTGGACACGCCCACCCATGCAAGGACACGCCCACACACCCCAGACCACACCCACCCATGCCAGGACACGCCCACCCCTCCCAGGACATGCCCACCCTTCCTGGCCACACCCACACATCCCTGGCCACGCCCACCCAGAGCCACGCCCACCCAGATAAACCACACCTACCTTAGGGCTAAACCACGCCCACCCAGATAAGCCACGCCCACTCAGATGAACCACACCCACCTTAGGGCGAAGCCACACCCCCCAGGTAAAGCCACACCCACCCAGATAAGCCACACCCACCATAGGGCTAAACCACGCCCACCACAGACTCACCTGGGCGTACCTGGATTAGCCACGCCCCCTTTTTGGGGAAGCCCCGCCCATCACACACTCAGCTGTGCACACTTGGATAAGCCACGCCCCTTTGGTTTTAACCACGCCCACTTTAGTTCCAAGCCCCGCCCATCACAGACTCACCTGGGCACACCTGGATAAGCCACGCCCTCCTTTGGAGTTTAGCCCCACCCTCTTCCCCTTTGGCCACGCCCCCTTTTCCACCGAGCCCCGCCCATCGCTGACACACCCGTGCTCACCTGGTTGACCACGCCCACTTTTTTGT